GAGCAGTAAACCTTCGTCGAGCATATTCCTGAGGAATATTCGATGAAGAAGGTTTGCAGTTTTGAGAATATCTTCATCCTGGTCAGGTTCTGGCACGGCGTGGTCGTTGCTCAGAATGAATAACGGCTACAAGTAGAAAACAGTTAGCATTGAACCACGTCATGTAATCGGTGAGCGACCTTGTTGAAGAATACATAATTCTTCCAGTCTTGATCACTGAGATCGGTAAAGTCGTGCGTGTCAAATTCAAGACTCTGAATGTATGCCTTGAGTGTTTTGTGTGCAAGAGACCTTGAAGACGCCTTCCATGCATCAGCAGAAGTCCCGATTGCTAACGGACGATTGCCTAGACGAGGTTGTTGGTCAGACGCTCGAGATAGGTGCTCAGCGCCTGGATGGGTGACCCGACCCGGTGGCGGCTGATAACACGGAAGGAAATGCACACTCACAATCAAAGAAAACGATGTGAAACACTGCTCCTCGCTTTTGTAGATCCTGAAGGAATGATTCGACGCTGTAGAACGCGTGTAATATCTGGAAATCGCAGGCTATCCACCACCGGGATCCCAAAAAGAGAAATCGCAAATTTAATCAGCCTTAACATCTCCCACCAAACAGGCTCGAAACCAAACAAATCGGAAATGTAAAAAACGCTTACAATTCGATCTGCCCAGCTGTAGCAGCCGATCATCCAAGACGACCTGGATGAGCGCATCTCCATCGACCAGAAACAGCTCTTTTCCGGCATAAGCACCAATGATATCGACCCATCGAGGCCTTAGTTTTGTGAACCACTCTGTGTCTAGTTGGCGCAGAGCCTCTGCTATGCGTTTCGCATTCATGACGGTGGTGGGCAAGGGTCAAGGGCTTAGTGTACCCATTTGGTCATCCATCAGCGGCGAAACCAGTTTTTCCATAATAATCCAGAGCGAGCTCATTCCGGGTGGCAAACCCCATTTACAGCACTGAAAAAACAAGATAAAATGACTAGAATGTTTAGCAGAAGCTTCTCA